TAGCATTCAAAGGAACAATGCCTTTTTAACTAGAGCTCATGATTCCATGAGGATGGAAACCAGAAGCACCCTTTTTCAAGCTTGAAGGGGAATCTTCAACTCCATTTAAACAAGTGGACTCATAAAAAGATCCAAAACCTAGATGTTCAGCAAAGTAAAAATTGCTTCGCTGAATCCCCATCCAAGCTGAGATGAATTTCACAGCAGGCAAGCAATGTAAGTAGCTTCAATTGGATTTTTAAGAAACTCTTAAAAAACAAAAGATCTTCCCACAACAAACAAAATTCTATTTCTGTTAGTTTTGGGTTAAGACCTATTTTTGTAATAGAAACATTTATGGCAATAAAATATATTATCACTTATTAAAAATGTAGCTAATGAACAAAACCAGATTTTCCTCATTATTCCAGAATACTGGATTGATCCTCAGAAATGAAGGGTTGAGCATTTACTTTTTATGCATCTTTAAACAATAATCACTCACATAATGTCAGTAGTTGGGGAAAGAACAAACAAAAAAATCCACACACACACGCACAAAGCAAACAAACACACAGGGAACAAACAAGCAAGTAGTATTACAATCTCAAATATCATCCCATTAACTCATGGGGTAAGAATTAGAACAAGCAACAACCACATCTAATCATTTCAGCTAAGCAGCAGGCCAAAAATAAATTCCATTTTTAAGACTCCAAAGCACCTGTTTATCCGCTAACATTTGCATAGCAATTGGTTGATACAGCTATTTTACCTAAAAGGATTCGCAAAGGAGGTTATACCCCTACAAAGGCAGCAAAGGCTTAGTTCACTAAAGGGAAGCATTCAAGAAAGCAAGAAAGCACCACCAAGAAAACAATCCCAACACAAAACACAACTCAACTTCTGCCCAGAACAAGTATTCCCAAGCAGCAGGAATCGGGATCATATTAGATCATCTTTTGATTGACCAAGAAGTCTCCATAAAGCACATGGGAATCTATAAGGCACTTCACATGCTCAAAGGAGCTACTGGCCCCAAAATGATGGGTACTTCTGCACTGAAGACAGTTAAAAATTCCTCTGTCAGAGTTATGACCAAGCAGCTTTGTGCATCCTCTCCAACTCTGGACCAGTTCTCTTCATTAGATGTTCCTCTTCCCTTCTTTTTGCCCTTTCTGTCCTGAAAATTGTTAGTACCTGACAACTGACACAGGGATTTGGGACATGTAGAGCCTGGCCCCTGCCTTGGCAGCAAAGGCACTGCAGAACCCAGCACTGGGCACTTCGGTGAAAACTGCTGAACACCTAGTCAGTTAGCGAGGGGGTAAAAGGAGGGAAGAAAGTGCAAAATATGAGCTAGAGTACAGATGGGAACTGCTGTGGGATGAGACACAACATTCCAGCCAAACTAGCCTATGCTACCCGTCCAACATCAAGTGTGGAAAGTCACCCAAGATGGCTGTCCCCAGGGAGGGAGGTCAAGCGTGGGACTACTGGAAATTCAATATACATTTCTTGGGCATTACCAGAATTACGATTCTGGCAGGATAGCAATAATTAGGCGCACCCCTTCACTACACTCATGGAAAGCTCAAGTGCATCAGAGCACCCACTTGGATGAGCAGACACGCAGACTTGATCTAGGTTTGGTCCTGTGTCTCTTCAGGCTACAGCTGGAACCGTTTCTGAGTTAAACAGATACACCTGCCAACACGCAGCGGAGTCTGACACACCTGAAACGCTCTGGCTTCCCAGCGGCTGCTTGGCTGCACCTCCGAAGGCAGGGCTGGCACTCACCTAAAGCCAGAGCCCCCAGCAGTGGGTGTCCCCAGACGGCGCTGTGACCCAGGCTCGCGAAACCCTTGCTGCACGAGCCCTTCGTTCCACACACCGATGCGTAACAGCCGTCCTGCTCCCGCGAGCCGGCAGGCCGGAGCGCAGCGGGCAGCGCTGGGCAGTGGCCGGGCCCGGCGCGGAGGCCCCGGCGCGGCCCGCTCCATCCAACGGGACTCACGTGCGCGCTCGGGCAGCCCCGCCGATGGCACCGCCGCGCACAGAGGGCCGGGCTGCGGCAGCAAAGCCGGGCGCGCTCACGGCACCGCGCACGGGAAGGCAGCGCGGAGCCCGCGGGGGCAGCTCGCCGCTCTCGCCGAGCTCGGGGCCGCTCCCGGGCGGGCGGCGCCACCGCAAGGTCGCGGGCCCCGCAGGCCCCGCGGCGCCCGGCCCGGCCCCTGGCGGCGGACAACAAAGAACCGCTCCCGCCCCCCGCCGCCGTTATCCCGGTACCGGCAGCCGCCGGGCCCCGCGCGCGGCTCGGCCCCGGCCGCGGCCCCCGGCCCGCGCTGCCATGGCGAGGCGCACGCAGCGGCGGGAGCGGCCCCGCGCCGAAGCGTCAACAAAGCGGCGCGGCCCGGGCCGCCACCGCCGCTCCGCGCTGCCCCCGCGCCGCCACCGCGACACTCACCGCCTCCCGCCGCCGCCTCGGCCGCTGAGTAATGAGCCGGGCCGGGCCGGGCCGCGCGCACGCTCCGCGCTCCGCCCGCCGCGGCTGCCCGCCCCCCGGGCCGCCCCGCCGCCATGGCCGGGCCCCGCGCTCCGCCCGCCGCCCGCGCCGCGCCCCTCCCTCCGCGCCGCCCGGCCTCCATCTTCCCGGCGCTGGCGGGCACGGCCGCCCGCCGGGGCCTGCGCGTTGTCCCGGGGCCGGCGCTGCCTCCCGCCCACCCCCGGCGGTGCCCTGGAGGCCCGGAGCCGCTCCGTGCCGCCGTGCACAGCTCCAGGCACTGCCACACGCCCGTTTCACAGTACTTGCCCCGCTCTGTCCCAGCCTGGGGGCTGTTTCATGCCTGGGGATGTCGCTGCCCCCAGACAAAAGGAGGCCTGGGAGCACGTCAAGGTGTTCCCGCAGCTCTGGCGTGCCCAAAGCAGCCCCGGGAGCAGCACTGACATAAGTCCATCGGTTACGGCACACTCAAAACAGGCTGTGTCTATTGAGCTGATTTGTTACACATCCACGCGTCACATTTTCACAGATACCAAGACGACAGCGAGGTTGTCCCTGCCAGCAGCTTTCATCCTGCTGCATGGCTGTAACAAGCTTAGATTTGTACACGGTGAAGGTGGTGCTTCGGGGTATTTATTGCAGCTTTGCGGGCTAGCTTGGCATGAAGAGCTTCACTTCCACAAAGCTGCTAACGTACTGCTCACGTGCCCGCTTTGGGGAGCTCCGCACACTCGTGTCCTTACAGCTCTCCTTTTAGTCAAGCACATTTTCCATCCGTCTCCTAGAAGAGGTGCTATTACAGATCCCCACAGGAAAAGCTGCAGCTTAGGCTCCATCCCTGGAGGAGGCCTTTGTGCATCCCACTGAGCTAAGAAGTGTCTCTCCAAGAGAATGGAAATCGAGTTTCTCCCCCTTCACCTCTCATCATTTTCATGGGGCAGCTCCTGGGTTCAATTAATTGCCTTTTTGCTTTCAGGCTATTTCTGATAGAAGTATGTGCGAATACATCAGTTGCTGTAATCTCTTCCTTATTTATTGGTGCCAAAGGCCAGGCTCAGCTGGCAGAAAAGGCAATATGAATCCCTGAAATTCACTGGAAGCAAGTGAAAAAAAAAATAATCCGGTTAAGGTCATATCCATCGTCACGGGCAGATGAGACTCGCCCTGCCGATCCGCCCGAGGCAGATCGTGGCACGATGACGTGCTTACTGCTGCTGGCAAGCAGATCTCTGGTGGCAATCTCTGCTCTGGGGATCTGCTGCCAGAGCCAGGGGGTGGCACCACGTTCAGCCAGCACAGCTATTTACAGCACAAATATCTGCCTGGGGCTTTAAGGGTCACCTTTGTTACTCTTAACACTTGAACACAAACATATTTATAAGTGATTTTTTTTTTTTTTTTTTTTTTTTTTAAGACTACCACTCACAGCCATGTGTGCCATGAGCAAATATTGCTGGCTTGTACACAGAGCTGACAGGCAACAAAGAGCAACGGTGCAGCAAGGACAGATCGGTGGTGTTGGAAACCATGATGAAGTTAATATTACAGTTAATATTAATGTTATTTAGCATGACCATAGCGTAGTTCTTACAAGTGCTTTGCAGAAGTATTTTCTTGCAAGCATAATAGCTACATATATGCAAATATAATGTATGCCTGGATTCGGGATTGTCCTCACTGATCGCTGGTTTTGGGATCATCCTGACAGATATCCTAGAAGATGGTGGTCATGAAATTCAGGTGCCACCTTTATGAATATTTTCAGAAAGTTCTTAGAAATTACCACATTCTTGGTAGTGAGCACTGTTAATTACTGTATCACTGCTTATAAACTGCAAGGGAAGCATAATTCAGCCTGAATGCTTTGGAGTCAAGGCAGGGGATTTGATTATCTTGCCCACATTTCAATTAAAAAAATACCAAAATATCAAAAGAAAGAAGTTCCAATATAACAGGCTCAAGGCTATATAACATAGCCACTTTCGCCCACAAAACATCCATAATAAAAAAATGATTATTTGTTTTTGCATCAAAATAGACTAGGATGATACACAAAGTACCTCAAAGTGTTTCGGTTCAACTAGACTGTAGTGAAGAAATATAGGATGGTTTATTTCTTAAACTATAATAGCTGCTTCCGAGTAAATACCTGATTACGCTTACAATCATTTGTAGGCAAGAGAAACAAGATAGTCTAGGTATGTATTATAACTGTAAGACACTGATATTTAGACAAGCAGATAAAGAATAGCATGTCCTGAAAAAGTTTTTAAGTTATTTTATATTTGAAAAAAAATGGACCTTTTAAGATTTCTTAAGTTACCATCAACAGAAGAGAAAAATTGCAATTCACTGATCTCAGACAGAACCACCTGTGTCAACATGCAGCCACTGTATTTTTTTTTTTTAGACATTTATATAAATATTGTAATTACACTAGCACCTAATATCTCTCATCAGAGAAAGCTGCCTTCTGGAAATTAATAAGCCAAGAGTATTTTCTCACTTCACTAATTACCTGATGAAGAAGAGATCAACAAGAATTGTAGGGATTCAGGGGACCCATTTTTTCCACGCTAAGGCTTAATATGTCACAGCCAGGATCAGTGTCCGTGAGCACAAAGCATGTCCTGTTAGAAAAACAAGTTGATAAGTATCAGTATTAAGAGCAAACATATGGAAACAACCTCCAGACTTTATAACATTTTAGAAAACTCCAAGACTAATATGAATGTTTATGCACAATAAAATATTTTGACAGTAAAATCTTTACTTCAACAATTCATCTTTTCACTTAATTGCCATACAAAAGTTCATCTCCCACTAAAAAGGGAAATGGAAATTTGATGAAAACTAATTACAACCAAAAGTCAAATTAACTGATATATTAGAGCCTGAAAATAACTAGATAAAGAAAATGAACCAAAATTCACACTTTCTAATTGTAGATAAAAGCAGGTGCTAAAATATTTCACTTTAATAACAAAGTAGGTCAAATGGAAACTAATAAAAGAAACACTTTTACCAGCCAGATTTGTGATTTAATTATGTGTTTAGGAACAGGATGAAATCAGTGTCAAGTGACTCATTGGCAGAAACTGTGTTCCCTCATCGAGCACAACTAGAAACCAAAAGTCACCAATTGTTAAATGCTGTTTTATTTTTATTTCTGCATATAAGCAAATGATCATTATTTAGGATCCAGATTTTAATAAATGTAATCACCATCAGCTGAGTAGTTGCTGGCTTTGGCAAAGGCAAGAGAGGGAAAGCAGCCACCATGGGGCACCATGCGACAGGTTATGACCGTGAGCATGAACTTAGGGACACGATGGTGTGTAAGGTATAGCCCAGCTCAGTAAAAGCAACACTTCTGTCTAGTCAACAAAGAGTGCGTGCTCTGAAATGGCATTAACATCATTAACCTCTTCTTTGCTGAGCCTGCCAAGGTCCCTCTGAGCTGCCCTAAGTCCATTAACAGTGCATTTGTATTAGCAGGTGCGCCAAGGAAATGGGCAGCCAAGTAGACACACAACTCAAGATGACTGGAAACTGCTGGTTGAGAGAAGTGCAGATTAACCATTAGGAGTTTATGGCATCATGGTTTCTATAGATTGATATTAATACAGTGTAGGTATCTTTTATTCATACTACTGCTCTGCTGAGATTTTGCATGAGTCTTCCATGTAATTATAGGTAATATTCCTGGAGTTTGGCTTTCATGATGACAGCATAGGAGAGTGGGCTCACAGTGCCAGGCTGAGGGCTGGATTCTGCAAATACTTTCCAACTACTTCACAGCCAAGTGTTGCTCTAGTTTCTTTACTAGGTAAAGATTGATTATATGCATGTCTAACTTTGGAGTTGCAGAGTTTAATTCCTAAATCCCCCAAACATGCTTGTAATTTATATCTGAATCACACTCCTGGGACACGCTTCCTAAATTCTGTACTTAAATGCCTGATCTCCCTTTCCATCATAACAGCTTAATGCTGCCCCCTTACCAATGTAGCCCCTATATTTGGCTTTCTAAGAATAATCCCAGAACAAGGGGCTTTTCCAGGCATTCTGAAGAAGCCCATAGGGACTTTGATATCAGATTTTTGCCTTTTGTCATTACAAAGTCATGATGGTTGGAAAAGTCTCTGCCCCAGACTTTATGGTTTCAGCTTACTGGGACCATTGAGAGGTGACCAAAATTAGATGACTATTCAGACAGCACTGACTTAAAAAAAAAAAAAAAAAATCAGAGGATTCCAAAGGCAGAATTTCAGCTATGTTTTCTCCAACATACAATATTTGTTTCCTCCCCCTTCCTCTAAACTTGCTCAATAAAACCTTTTAGTTAAACAAAGCAAAGGTCAGGAGTGCACTCACAGTTCTTATTTAGAGAGTGCCTCCATTACCATCTGTGAACATCTGGTCATTAAACATTGCCAGTTTGTCCTCTATTTCGTGAATTACTTATTTTTTTCACATCCTCTCTTCTTGTATCACAGGACAACACATAGGAAGATGCATTATAGGAATACTGCCCATGATTCAGTTACCTATGGGAGCAGCAAAGCTAGAGTCAGATAGCACAGACATGAGCTGCTTGTGCATGGGGGCTACTCAGATCAGACCTAGTGAATGTAGACAGTGATGTGAAGATATTGATGTGAAATACACCTGACTGCAAAGTCTAAAACAAACTCACAGTGTCACATTCCCATATTACTTTGCTAGGCTAAATATAGATGACTGGATCAATTCCAATCTGCTTAGAAGCCACATGGAAATTAGTCTGTAACTTCTGTGTATACTGAGTATAGGGATGATGCACAGAAGTTTATTACCAAAAGTCACTAGGTCTATATGATCTGGGCAGTCTTGAAACAAAAAGGGAGATATCTGGATCCTTCAGAAGGCTCAAGCTATCGCTGTTTATCTCTGATTGCTCAAGCACTTCATGGTCTACTCTATAGGACTCTGAAGTAAAAAGCAAGTAGAACTAAAAGCATTGCAAGTCATTTCTGACCTCTGACTACAGCTTTGACAGCCTATCTCATCCAGCATCAGCAGAGAAGTAAATAATAATCTTCACTTTTATGTAAACTTTAAGAGCTTCCCACACTTAGCTTCTATGGGATGAAAAGGCATTAATGTCAGGGAATAATTGGATTCTAACCCTTGTCAATTCTCAGAAAGCTGAGCGGAACATAAGGGAGATCCTAAGCTCCATCCAGCAGTTCCTTCACTGAGATAAATAGTCTTTCATCTTGTTAACCTTCTTACATAGTAGTCCAGTTACATAAACTTTGCCACAATCGCATACATATGGCATTTGTATACAGTAAGGGATTCAGTGGGGGAACTGAATCAATTCAGTTGAAGCTTTCACATTAACTCACATGTGTGAGTTGAAGCTCACACATTCTGAGTTTAGGAGTCTGAGCTGCAGAGGTTCATACAGCTGGGATGCTAATCATTTTCCAAAATAGCTCTGTTTTCAAGACAGTTTTTCAGGCAACCCAAGTCATAATTTGATTTCGCTGCGTTTGGAACAACTGCTTACAGCAACAGAATCTGCACCAAGGCAGATCAGGTCAGGCTCATGCTTTTATGAGAAGAATAACGGGGTCTTCCCTCAAAGAAGGGGGCATAAATTATTTAGGCATTTTGATTAGTTAATCAAATCTACCTTTTTACCTGACATAACGGGAGCATGTTCACACAGCACCTTATTTTGAGCAAAATGAGTCAACAAGTCACTCAACTCCAGAAATATTACACATTGATCCACTTAAGTCAAATTCAGTAGTGAGAAATGCACCATTATAAATAAGTTCATATCTCTTCCCCTGTCATTAGCTGAAGGAACAAGTACAAACTTCTGTGTTACTTTCTCCAGGTATGATCATATTGAATGATCAGGCCGAACATGTCACAAGGTGCACGGGTGGCCGGGTTTATCATTGATAACATTTTTCCTCATCCGTTAGTATTTGGACACATTGCAAGGGCTTTGTTTGGGACTTGAAGAGCAATGTCAGTCCCAGCAACCACCAGAAGGGTCACCGGATGCTCTCTACCAAAAAGCTGCTAAAATTATCAGAAAATTGTGGCTTGCTGATTTCCAAATGTTTTGTTTGAAATGGATACAAGGATTTTTATGAAATATAAATTATTCTTGCCTGGATCCCTGGAAGACTATCTTTAAGATTTACAGACTAAGACCAAACTGAGAAAGAAAAATATTTTGTTGCTCTAATGAAAATGGTACAGTGGAGGAAAAAAAAAAGCAAAAAAAAGTGTGGTGTGCCTAGAGTGAGAACTGGCAAAATGGATCTTTTCAGGAATATCCTGTGTAAGGCAACACTGCATTTGTCAGTATCAGGAGAAGGATTTGCAATGATAGAGATGAGGCAATGAAAGCCCAAATAATTTTTGTTATCCAATTAGATAACAGCCATAGTTCTTAAATTTTATTCAGAAACATATGCAAGGATCCAGATACACTGAAAGGGTTGACCTAAAGGAGAAGGCGAAGCTGAAGCTGAATCCTAGAGTATGGGCTTTAGACAACAGTAACATCAATCATAGCAACTAAGAAAGGAAAAGGGAGAGATGTAAGGTCATTTTTTGGCTGCGTTAAGCTTAAATGACTAGTTACATGGAGCCAGGCAAAGAGAAACAATCCAGGATTGTCATTTGTACGTGAAGAGAGAAATATACAGTGGAGAACTGTAAGACACCTATCTGAGATTGTAGTTAAAACTGCATTTGAAAAAAAATCACATTGCTCAGAGACAAAATATAGCGAGCAAAAAGACAGAACAGATGGAGCTTTGCGGAATCCTTACAGAAAGTTGGAGGGAGAAAGTGAAGGATCTTCCAATTACTCCCCAGAGGCAAACTTACGGGCAAGAACCAAGAGCAGAAAGGGTCTTAAAAGTTTGGGGAAGAACAAGACATCACCAAGGACAACAGAATTACATCAAGTAGTATAAGGATCTGCAGTAAAGATTACTTCTGATGATAAAATAATCCCGAAGGCAGAGTTTGCTATTGAGTTCACATCGGAAAGCAATAGCTTTGAACCCTGCAGGAATGAAGTACAATGCCCCCCACTCCATCCCCCCCCCCCCCCCCCCCCCCCCCCCCCCCCCAAAAAAAGAACTTAATAAATCCAAAAGGACTTTCATTTATTTTTGCTAATGTGCTTTTCACTTCCTTATGCCCAACTCAGATGCACCTTGGGGCATCCCCAGCAATCCCTGAGCACAGGCTCACCCTGCAATAACTACCTGGATGTTTCAGATCGAGCACTACAACACAAACCAGTGAAATCTCTTTCTAGCTTTCAGGGGGGTTTTGTCGTTGTTAGTTTTTCCCCTGCCAGGCAGACCATGCAAGTGTCAGCTGCCTTGCTACTGGAGCCTGCAGGATTTGGCTGGCCACAAAAGACACCCTGGCCCTCTCACATGGCCCCGTGGCCTTGGGAGCTTCCTTCTGCCTGGCCCAGTCAAGGGCTGAAAGTGTCATCAGCCCACAGGGCTTTAGACCCAGCGCTCCCGTGTGCGTCAGGTAATCCAATTGAGCTCTTACATGTTGACAGGGCCACGGCTTTACACTGAGCCACTTCCTA